ATTTAGAATTTCCAAAATATCATATTGTCCCCCCCCCCCCGCCCGCCAATTCGTGACACTTTGGGAGAGCTCCCCTTGCTAACATTCCAGGACTACACCACTGATTAATCGCATGCGTGCACTCATAAACAAGTATAATGTAGAAACTATACCTTACACTAAATCTGACTGTCTATTAAATCACATAGACTTAGTGGATCAAAATTGTTTCTACCAAACTTGGGTACGACAATGACCACGGCACAGGAATTATATATCTCACTATACTATTGCGAGCCAGATAGATAGGACAGGGACCATGCATGCATGCCTGTATGCCTGCGTGGCCCCATTCCAGACATTCCCGCCCCTATACATGTCTATTAAATTTTGCATAAAGAGATTGCTTTGAACGAACTAAACTAGTATAAACCCGGTTACAGACGAGCAAGTTTTCTATGACAAGTTTTTATGTGACAAGTTTTATTTGCTCGTCTGTACGCGCAACATTGACAATTTTTCTATGACAAGTGCACTTGTTCAAAAACTAGCATGCTAGCTTTTGAACAAGTGCACTTGTCATAGAAAAAATTGTCAAAGTACAAAATTAATTTTGTTCGTCTGTATGGGTCAACAAAGAAAACTTGTGAAAGTAATCTGAGCATATGATGTGATTGACCAATCGGACTATTATAATTTTTCTGTCATGGCGGCGATAAACACCTCTTTCTGACACGTTCAGTCATATCAGAAAATAAACTTGTCACATAAAAACTTGTCATAGAAAACTTGCTCGTCTATGTAGCCGGCTTAAAGTTAGGAGCTGGCGAAACAGGCATCCTTTCATTTCAACTTGTAGGAAATGATGTGTGAATGTTTTTATGCAATCATTTTCGTTGGGCATGCATTCTGCATGCGGCTGTCTATAATAAGGTCTTTATATTTCCATTTCCGACTTTGGAGTGGAGAAGACAAAAATATCTCGGCAACTATTTACCCTCCTTTAAAACGGAAACCACCATTGAAATCCTCACAAAATAACCTTACGAAAAATGCTGTCATAACGTGCATTACAGAAACCAAAACAATCGTATATTTTCTCGCCGCTTGGCCAAACATTCTGTATTTCAATATCGAGAAAAACTTGAATATTTTCTAAAATCTCTTCAGCATTCGCCCAAGTCAATAACAGTAAAATTCTCCTTGTATTCAAGCGCTTGAATACGATGAGTAGAAATGTTTATTTTGAATTTTTCAAATCATCGGGTTTTACTCGCACGCGCGCAGGGGTAATTTGACCTTTAGAATCGATTTCCGATATGTTTCCCGAGTGCTAGCTAGGATGTAAACATTGCATTGTTTCGGATATAACTTTTTAACTTCGGGTCAAAGCTCTCGCATAAAATTTAGATATTTTGAAATACCGAAATAAAAGATGCAAATCTGCAGATACAAGCTTGGAAATAACACTCTAAATAGTGTATTGGAGTATGATTCGAATAAGACTAATACGAAAAAGATACGTTGAAAGGGGCCGAAATTATATTCGGCGAAAGGTATAGCTTTGTGAACATTGTTTACATTGTTCGAGTATTTTGTATATAGGTATGGTCGGCTAGTTTACGTTGCTCGAGTATGGCCAGTTCATATTTTATGGCTATTTTACATTGTTCGAGCATGTAGTATTTTTCAAGTGGAATTTGTTGGTTGTATTTTCATATTTCTACTACAAATACTCGCGGAGTTCTTTCATATTTGACGGAAATCTATAATTCCGGATCGAATGGAGTTTGTCAATATAAGTGAAGGTTTTGTAAAGATAAGGGAGTCAAGGAACCGCTCATTATTTATTGTACAGGGGGGGATTCAGGAGAAACTGGGGGGGGGCTTTAAATTTTTTAAAACCTGAAAGGGGGGATTTGAAAAATACAGAGAGATGAAAGAAGGGGGGCTGCATGTGAAAATATTTACCAGTTTGAAAAAACATTAGTAGTTTTAAAAATGTATCACAAAACAACTTAACAAATAACAATGTTTATAGACCTTCAAATCTGCAATAGTTCATAAATGGAAGCCAAATAAAAAGTCTCTTATGTTCATGTAAACACAGGCGGCCCAATCTTACCCTGTGTTATTAATTACGTTATATCTTTTAATATATAGTATATTGAAAATCATTAGAAAATCCTGTGTTATTAATTTATTACGTTATATCTTTATATAAGAGTATAATTAAAAGCACTTACATGTGTTTCCTGAAAGATTTTAACGAGAACCAGCCAAGATTGGCGTTGACAAGAGGTTAACGGCCATAGTTGGGGTTGACATGAGGATTAACAGCAAGAAATAATACAAGGCTGGTCACTTTCACCGTTAATTGGACTAATTGGGACAAACGCTGACAGAAATCAATCGAATAACGTAAACTTCGGCTGTCGCATCCTCGCAAAATTACGTTACATCGGAAGAGCGATAATTTGTACATAATATACTTTTCTTTAACATAATTGAACAATAATCTTCCTGCAGAAAATGCCAAATGAAACTTACAAATGTCTAATCTTACGAGGTTCGTCACCGATCTGAATTCATGGCCTTCAAATTCGAATTACACGCTGCATTGTCATTGGTCGGCTTTCAAAACAACAACAGGACATTCGCAGAGGCCTTTCGCTAACTCCCCAAGCGTTCGCTCTCTTATCGGAAATGTCCTGTTGTTGTTTTGAAAGCCGACCAATGACAATGCAGCGTGTAATTCGAATTTGAAGGCCATGAATTCAGATCGGTGACGAACCTCGTAAGATTAGACATTTGTAAGTTTCAATTGGCATTTTCTGCAGGAAGATTATTGTTCAATTATGTTAAAGAAAAGTATATTATGTAAATATTATCGCTCTTCCGATGTAACGTAATTTGGCGAGGATGCGACAGCCGATGTTCGCGTTATTCGATTGATTTCTGTCAGCGTTTGTCCCAATTAGTCCAATTAACGGTCAAAGTGACCAGCCTTGTATTATTTCTTGCTGTTAATCTTCATGTCAACCCCAACTATGGCCGTTAACCTCTGGAGTGTCTTGTCAACGCCAATCTTGGCTGGTTCTCGTTAAAATCTTTCAGGAAACACATGTAAGTGCTTTTCATTATACTATTACATAAAGATATAACGTAATAAACATGGGCGTACCGGAAGGAAAAATTTAGGGGGGCGGCAAGAAATTTGCCCGACTTTTCCGGATTTTGCCCGACAAGTAACGAAAAATTTGTTTTGGCGACCCCCCCCGTCGCCAAAAAAATTTCGGTCAGTGTACCATTTTAGGGGTCAAAAACATACCATAATTGTCCGGAACCTACAAATTTTTGGGAAATTTCACGAAATTTTCCGCAACATTTACAGAATTTGTCCCATTTATTTTTTAATTCACCAAAATTGCCCGACTGTTTAGCGAATATTGCCCGACTGCCCAAAATCAGCTACCGCCCCCCCCCCGCCCGGTACGCCCATGGTAATAAATTAATAACGCAGGATTTTCTAATGATTTTCAATATACTATTTATATAAAGATATAACGTAATAAATTAATAACACAGGGTAAGATTGGGCCGCCTGTGATGTAAATAGACAATTCCCATTATAGACTAATTTTAGAACTAGGCAAAGAGATGCAAATCAAGGCCGGATTTTGGTGAAAATAGTAGGGGAGGTGGAAAAAATTTTAGGGGAGGTGCAGCGGTCTAGCTCACAACTCCCATGGAAAGTTAGGGCTTATTGTATGAACAGGCCAATATCAACGAGGTGAGGTATGTATGTAGTATACATATGTACCAGTATATTAATGAATTATGAATGTATATGACTCCAATCTTGCCCTTCATTATAATTTCTACAAAGTTTCTTTCAAAACATTGCATTAAAAGGGTACTTGACACGGAGATGAATGGCTATATCACTGTTTCAGTTTTACAGAGAACACTTTCTTGCATCACGAAGTGTACATCCTAAGCAACCATCACATTTTCACTTTTCCAAGGGGAGGTGCGTGACCTTTCAGGAGAGGTGGAAAAATTCTCAGGGGAAGTGCAAAACAATCTCAGGGGAGGTGCGCACCTCTCCACACCTCCCCTCAAAATCCTGCCTTGATGCAAATAAATCACCACAGCTAGAAAGAACATACTAAAATAAGTAAATTATTGCAAAGTTTGGTTGCGAAATGTTGTAAAATACGGAAAATATAGCCTTGCAAAGTTTTCAAATTTTGTATACTTTTGTATTGCAGGCGAGGAAAATTGCAATACAAAAGTATACAAAATTTGCAAACTTTGGAAGGCTATATTTTCTACATATTTTACAACATTTCGTAACCAAACTTTTCAATTTTACTAATTTTAGTATGCCTTCCCGGGAATATACTTTTTTTGCTCTAAATAAAGAGCCAGAGTTTTTGTTTCTCTAAATAAAGATAAAGAGCTAGAGGGGGAACCAAAAGTTATGTTCTTGTTTTGCCTGTTGGGGAGGGGGGGGGGGCTTTGAAAATTTTACTTGTCTTAAGAGGGGCCGGGCAACGAAAAAATATTATAACTGTAGAGTTTCTCTAGCTTTTTTATATGCATTAAAGAAATGAGTAGATCCCGTTTTGATTGACTTTTTCTTTAAAAAATTCCTGTCATAGATTTTCTTTTTAATTTCCGATGTTAACCAAGGTGCATGCTCACTCCGCACTCTCCTGGTAACTGGAGGGGCATGCATATCCGCCACTAATAAAAATTTTCTTTTCCAGTCCTCCCAAAGTATATTTGGGTCGCCATCTTGAGGTTGGTTTTGAAGGATTTTGGCTAAATCCTGTTTATAAGCCTCTACATTAAAATGTTTGAACTGGCGAGTATTTATTATTTTAGGCTGTTTGCGGGGGATAGATATTTTTCTATGAATGTAAATCAAACTATGGTCACTCATACCAACATGATCAACACCAGATTTAATTATAGTTTCAGTCTCCCCCAGTACAATAAATAATGAGCATGTCCCTAAGTTTATCAATTTGAATGTCCCTAAGTTTATCAATTTGATATTTATTTTCAAAAACTTGTCAAGGAATAGGTGTATACACAGATACAAAATTATTTTGCCGTTATTGAGTGCGATAGGATACGAAAAACTGGAGCAGGTATTTTTTAGTCGTTTGCGAGGACAAGCGATATGATATTTCACATGCATTTCATTAAATTACACAATTTTCTCGAACAATGTATACGTACTAAGCCATACATTTCGCCGAACATAACTTCGGCCCATTTGGACATATCTTTTTCGTGATAGTCTTGTTCGAATCACAATCCAAAACAATATTTAGAGTGTTATTTTCAAGCTTGTATCTAAAGATTTGCTTCTCAATATTTCGGTATTTCAGAATATTTAAATTTTTAGAGAGGTTCAACCCGAAATACAACTTGAATCATCGAAACAATGCGATGTTTACCTCCTAGTAGTTCCGGAAACACCGGAAATCGATTCTAAAGGTTAACTTACCACTGTGGTGTGATTTGCACATACATCGGGCACGCGAGTGCTCCTTATTGGTCAAGTCCTGGCCAAGTATAGCGTGTGGAACGCGCGTGAGAGTAAAAAGCCGATATTTTGAAAAATTCGAAACAAATATTTCTACTCAACATATTCAAACGAAACTTTTTACATGAAATCGCTTGAATACAAGGAGTATTTTACTCCTATTGACGTTTGGAAATTCTGAAGAGTTTATGTGGGAATTCAGAACAAGTTTTTTCTCGATATGAAATCGGTGAGTAAATATACGATTGTTTTGGTTTATGTAATGTTATGACGGCATTTTATACCCCGTTCAAAAGGTTATTTTGTTAGAATTTCAATGGTGGTTTTCGTTTTAGGGTGAATACTCGTTGAGATATTTACATTAGAAACAATTGAATGAAAAATATCAAATTTATCGCCAAACAATAGCAACCTTAAGATTCTACGACGCGGCAGTCTACAACGCCGCCGGAAGTAAATTTGTAGCAAATGAGCATGCGCGTGCGTTCTTGCTCAGCGAATCTAATCTACGACGACGCCGTTTGGCAGTTTTCACGTCATAAGAGCAAAAATGGAAAAATACTATATCTGCGAAAGAGTTGGAAGAACAGGAAGGGTCCAAGTCTGGGTAAGTGTTGCTTGTTTTCTTAGTTTCTTGCAAAATACATAACATGGTGAAATGTTTGCCCAAAGAGAGTAAAGTATATTATTGAAAACTTGCTTTTACTCAATTTAATGTATATCTTCGTATTTTTGCCGAAACGTTCACCTCATATTTATTATGTTTATTACATTTACAGAGTTTGTTTTATAATGAAATGGACTAATGACCATGATGTCGAATTTTGCAAAGAGGTTGTTGCTTCGAAGCTTTTTGAAACCAAAAAAATGTCGGCAGAAAGAGCTCAGGTATGGGAAGCTATTGCAAAAAAATTGGAATGGAATATCCTAAATTAAAGGTGGAGCAACGTTCTGTCAGAGATCGACAGATCAAAAAAAACTAATCAAACAGTTTAGGAAAAAGGAAAACGATGAAAGACGAGCCAGTGGAATTTCACCTGAATTAACAGAATTGGACACACTGCTGGAGGAGATAAGTGAAAAAGAGGAAGCATCTGAAACCCTGGCTGCAGATATGGGAGAAAGGGAAAAGAGGCGTTTGGAAGACGATCAGATGGCGGGACAAGAGATGCAAAAAAGAGCCATGGGAACTTTATCCGAGACCCAGAAAAGAAATACAAAAATAGATCAAGATAGTCCAAACGCAAAGTCAGAAAGGGTGATAATACAGCCTTGGCATTTTTGGCAGAAAAGGCAGAAAAAGAAACAAAACTGAAGGAAGAGAGCAACAGATTAGAGAGGCAGCGAAGGAAATGGAAAAGGAAAAAACAGACAAATTTATGCAGCAACAGAATGACATGTTGACTGCTATTTTAGAAATGCAAAGACAGCAAAATAATCAGGTACAAGCAATCCAGATGGTTTTAATGCAGCAACAGCAGCAACAAGGGCAAGCACTAATAGCTCTTTGTCTAAGATTGTTGATAAAGAAAATTAGATCTGCTAGCTATTAAAGGCCCGTTGTTGTGGTTGGCATGTTAAATTATTCAGTGAATTTTGCAAAAAAGATAATGGAAAATATTTTAATATTTAAAAATATTCACATTACAGAATATTGTAAAAAATGTTATTATAAATTATATTGAAATGTCATTTACTTATCAATTATTAAATTGAAATGTTACTTAAGTGATCACTATATTAAAATTTATTTACACAATTATTATACATAATTATTATATTATTGAAAAGTTAAATATTATGTATAGTATATTAGTTAAGGTAGTAGCATGGTTTCAAGTACAATTTGGGAAAACATGCACAAGTATTTGTATTTAATTATCTTCATACACGGTAACCGGGCATCAATTGATAATGATTTTTATAGGGCCGTGTCTCAAAGACGATCAAAATTGCATGAGCCCGAAGGACAAGTGCAATTTGGAGTCTTTGAAAAACTCACAAGACTGTACGTTTTTCCAAATTGCACAAGAAACCATACTATTACTAATAAATAATACACATGAAAAATTAGGCAGTCACATGCGTGCATAGGTCACATGCGAAATTGTTAATTTTAACTCATTGAGTGGCAGCACTCTCCCCCTGACAACTGAAATCGTCTGGCACAAGACAGAGTAAAATAATAGAGACGTAGGGCACATCTTTATGGGCACATTGCCACTCAAGGGTTAATATAAATAATTTTAATAGAAAATCTACTAAAAATGCCAGCCATTGTCAATGAAATTTGCATTGTATTTCATTTTTTGGCACTGTATTTTGAAACAATTGCAAGGCTCTTAGCCAATCAGAAATGGGTATAAATATTTATCATGTGTATTATGGAGTGTCAAAATCTCAAACCTGACAATATATGAGCCATCCTTAAAGCCTGTTTTCCATTTCAACCGTATCGTAATGTGCCATAGCATTTTCTTTTGAGGTGTTGTTGGTAAGCATACAAGTTAGAGCATTTCTCAAAATTGCTGCAACAACATAAATCTTTCCAATGCAGCTTTAAAGATGCGGTACAGTCCGATCTGCGCATGTGCACAAAGGAGCCCTCTGTTTATTATACAAACAGTTTATTTAGGTTTTTATTTCATTTTATGGTCTTGCAAGGCTTAATTGTTGTGTCTTGATAATTTATTATACACTAGAATCATGAAAATATAAATAGTTGTCGAATAAAATTCAATATTTTGGATACCGACATGTAAGCAAAGCCCTTTACATACGGACTGTACCGCATCTTTAAGGCCAATTTTCAATTTTTTTTTAAATCTAAAAATTTAAAATAGCCGAAGTCATTGCTTAGGAAACAAAGAAACAGACTATGTTTTGGTATGATACGACTGAAGTGGAAAACTGGCTTAATAGAAGTACTCCTCAACAGTTGGTCGTTCAAATTCAAAAAACTTTGAAGTGTTGTTAGGTTGCATACCATAAGGGCATGCATTTGTTAAAATTCCAGCAACAATATATACATTTTGCCAACACTATTTAGCTATGTATAATTACCTAGACATATAAAAATAGATAAAGTCACCATATTTCTCCTACATTTCTGACAAGAGACGTTATATGCAAAGTCCCTACAAAGCCAATAATTCACCCCAGCACTGCCAGGGTCCAACCTTGTTGGGGAAGCCAATGACATTCACATAATAGTGGGTCATATATTGATAAAATCATGCAAAATACTCATCAATGGCAGGGAATACAACTTCAAAGAACTTTGAGGTGTTGTTGGTATGCATACAAATTAGAACATTTCTCAAATTTGCTGCAACAACATACATCTTTGCAATGCTGCTTAGACCAATTTTCAATTTTTTTTAAAATCTAAAAATTTTAAATAGTTTATAATGTCTCCAAACAACCATTCAACTGCAACATGAACAGTGCTCATTGAATTGTTGAAGGCTTCCATCTGTGGTGTTATGTATGGGCGGTTTCTATACGGTGCCTGAAGGTGTATGCGAAGAGGGTATGCCGGGTCACCGTAAACACACATAGGCTGGCAATCAACAAATGCACGCTCTTCTAGAGCAGTCAACAAGCCTGAATCAACAAGCATGGCAGAATCATGTCTTCTTCCCTCCAACAATTTTATGCAAAAGAAGAATTAAACAAACCTTTTACAGTCCTGTTGTGTTATCCTTTTTGCAAAAGGTGTATGAATATCATGGTCCATGGATTAAACGCTTTACGTACAACATTTAATAAATACAACATTACAGTAAAACACTATCAAAGTTGATGATATTAAAAAACCACACTTTTTGTTGCTATGCTACAGGATTTTAGCCTCTGGGGGAGTAACGTGGGTGTGTGACGTAAACAATAAAAATTAAAATACCAGTTCCGGCATAAACATGTGAACATACCTACAGATCCGAATAAGTTTCCAATTAAGCCATTAGGTCGCGCTAATGCCTTAAATTTCAATGCATGGACACGCTTATGACGATTGTAAACCAACCGCTGCATTTGCCCAGGGCGACATATTGCACTCACTGTCCCGTCAATAAAACCAAAAAAATTCGCCAATGCACCCCCTTTACGAGCCACTGCTTCGGCATATCTTCGAAGGCATTGAGGACTCAACAACTGCTCGTTCCACTGTGTTAGCCTGTGGGCATGTTGGTCATAAATAAAATCCACAACCTGGTTTGTAATCATACTTAGCTCTGGGACGGGTCTACCAAACATCGAAACCAAGTCACTATACCTACACGGGTAGCAAAATCGCCGCAACCGCATGCACAGAGCTTCCATTCCGTCGCAAATAGTTCCTTGTGGGCATGTGAATCGTCCAGGCACACCCATCGCACGAGCAAGAACAGGAACTTCATGTTTTTTAAAGCGAAATTGAACCTCGCGATCGCATTCAGCTTCATCGATGTTGTTCAATTCAAAACTCTCGTAGTTTTGGTACGATAATTCGGGTTTTTTTAAATGGCACATATCGTAAAGAAGTACGAACTCATCTTCACCAATAAAAGAAGAGTCATAAGCCAAAATAGCGGCTTCCCTAGCTTGCCTAAATGAACACATCTTTATGAACAGTTGTCTATAAAATACACACGTCCGCGTAGTTGAAAGCGCGAGATATCAATCTACTTTTTACAATACGCAGACGTTGTTCTCCCCAGGCTGCAACGCGGAAATTTAGCGCATTGTAGACTGCCGCGTCGTAGAATATTAAGGTCGCTAATATGGTTGCGTGCCAGTGGCGTAGCCAGACCTTCATTTTTTGAGGGGGGTGGGGAGCGAAGCGAACGCCGAAGGCGCGAGACCATCTAGGGGGGGACGGAAGCATTTTGAAATCCGGGAAGATTTTGAAATCCGGCAAAATTTTCCCGGGGTCCGGGAAAATTTTGAAATCTAGAGTCTCTGAAATGCGATTTCAAGCATTTTGGGGGTGAAATCTTGCAGAATTCCGAAGATTATAAAGTACATCGAAGACGTAAATTTTCCCACACATTTCTAATTTTCTACTGGGAATTAAATAAATTGGAAAAGTCACCTTGAAAAATAGGAGGAACCGGTCAGTGTCACCTTATTTCCCCTCTGTGATACTGGGGGAAGAAAATCCCAATGTGATTATGATCAGAAATGTTGCATTTAAATCATTCTAGGTTCTATGAGACAGCATTTCCGCATTTTCAAAATTGCGTTGCTTTTTCATACGATACAGAATATAAGTCTGAGAAGAATATTCATGCTATGATAATGCATACATGTAAATCTAAACTAAATCCATTCTTCTTGGAACCATATCTACAACTGCTTTAACGAGATTTTACAAATCAAGTTCCTCCAGTATATCTTCGTTTTCCTCAGTCGAGACGTACTTAATCAGTTTCAGCTTGGGATGTAACGTGTACACTCTCAATTTCTCTATGGATTTAGCTTTTTTCAGAGAATTTTTTTTTGCGATTGGGGGGGGGCGGTCGCCTCCCCCCCTGGCTACGCCACTGTTGTGTGCGACCGATGTTGTTAATAATTATATACAGGAAGTTCAATCTACGGAGTCACGATTTTATATAATAGCCAGTTATATAATTCTGAAAACTGAATCACTTATATTATTGTTATGTTTGCATTCGCGAAGCGAGCTATGAGTTAGCCGAGTCAGGCAAGTTGGTAAGAATATTCCTAAAAAAGTTAATCCTTTATTACATTTGGTGTAAGAGGGAATGTGGGTTATAGCGTCATGCAAATATTACCAAAAACTCTTTTTGATTATACACTTGATAATGTTGATTCATTTTTAATTCTTAGGATTGGAGTACAAATGTATCCAATAGTGTACTATAGTAGAATTACAATCATTGTGTCAATGTTTATATGAGATTAAAAATGTTGTTAAATCTGCTGTCAGAATGCAGGAAGAATAGCGTTTCTTTGCTTTAGAAAAACAATTCTGTGTTGACATTCCCCCAAGATTGAAAGGTTTCGGCGCAAGACTCGGTAAATGTGAGTTCCTGTGCCTCTTGAAACAGCCTCGCTCCCTTAAAATAGCTGGTATTAAAGGTAGTTATAAACTTCATAAACTTCATAAACTTTAATAAGTACCACTCCCAAAAAAAGGGCTTTTCAGTGATACAATTTAGAAAATATATTACAATGTGATGTATAAGAAAGTTATATACTCATTTAGAATTACTCATATGCACTGAGTAGTTGTTTATACAGTTTATGTTTAAAAGTTTGAAAAAGTTGTATAAGCATGCCTAACCTAGAAATGTAAACCTATACTCCCTTGCATCCAGGGAGTTCCATCTACTACTACAATAGTAGAGGGAAACTCATCTTATCAAAATTTCATATCGATCTGCGGGGGGGGGGGGGCTAATATATATGCAGATTTCGTAATCATAATGTTAAAAGATATGATAACAATTTTTGTAATGTGTACTTGATTAGTATGTGATTGGTTATATGATTCATGTGGCCTTATCATGAAATAGCTTTGCTATATGGGAATCTTTTATTTCAAATCCTTTCTTTAAAGAACCACTAGTTCATAAATTGTAGAAGCAAAAGTGATAAATGGAATTTTCAGTATTTCTCATGTTGCACTCTCCACGCTTTGTCACCCCGCCTTCGTTTGGGAGCCCCCTTGTAAGCGTTTCAGAACTACATTATCCTTTGCGTGAGGAATGTTAGTAGAAATTTTTGCACACGTCGTACGCGTGAAAGGATTTTGAGTTATTTTTAGTGTTTATCTTGAAGAGAAACTTTTCTTAAATCATACATAGCAAATTCAAATTAAAATAGGACACATGTTGTTAAAGAGCTCTTAGGCTTTTGGTTACTATCTTTTTCACCTAGTTATTAACGTTCCATGTTGGCCTTTTAAATGTTTAAAAAAATTCGACTTGTAAAACGGCGACGTAATTATTACTAATGTATATAGCGAGTTAAATTAAAACTTACGTTTAAAACGCTATAATAAGTCTTCAATGTTCATTGTAATGTTAGTCTTTTAAAGTGATGGAGACATTTAGTATACCTCTTAACAATTAGACAACGAACTCGAGTTGTCTATGACCATGGGCGTACCGGAAGGAAAAAATTAGGGGGGCGGAAAGAAAATTGCCCGACTTTTCGTAAAATTGCCCGACTTTTCGTGATTGTGCCCGAGTAGTACCAAAACATTTTTCCCGGAAAAATTATTTTGGCGACCTCCCCCTTCCCCCGTCGCCAAAAAAATTTCGGTCAGTATACCATTTAAGGGGTGAAAAAAATTTTCCGGACATACCAAAATTTTTCGGAACATCACATAAATTTTCAAAAAAAAAATAAATTGACCACAAAATTGACTACATTTACTGAATTTGTCCGATTTATTTTTATAACAAACCAAAATTGCCCGACTGGTAATCGAATATTGCCCGACTGCCCAAAAAACTGGGGGGGGGGGCTACCGTCCCCAACCCCCGGCCCCCCGCCCGGTACGCCTATGTCTATGACTATGAGCGAATAGTCATGTAACGAGGCGAAGCTGAGTTGACTATTTGTTCAGAGACAACGAAGCTGAGTTGTCTAATTGTTTAAGTATAAATCACATAAAGAAAACGGAATTTTTCACTTGATTTTTATGTAAAATAATAACTTTTTAACGAAATGAGCGTCCTTTGTCGACATTTCGCCTCGGCCTTGTTGACAACTACTCAGTGTTGCGAACTCCCATGAATGACTTAAAAAATACAACTTCTGAGTTTTAAAAAAGTTAAAAAAACAAGTCGTAAAACAGTGTAATAGTAAGGGACCGTAATACAAGCAAAGTTTGGTTAATTAAAAGAAGGAAACAAGGCTTAAAAAGTCCAAAATTTCGAACACAAAATGGCTTCCCGAATTGTTCCTAAATAAAGTTAACGTTAAAAAGCCGAATAAAAATGCACACACCAAAGAATCTGAATGACGTCGTTGAAATCTTTAAAATACCTGCATGGAACATAAAGAGGCAAACCATTTCCATCATCTAGTATACATAGACAATAGTTTAGATTAAATTTTAATCGAAAAACTCGATTAAAAAAGCTCGAAAAGGCGAAAAACAAACTCGGCCAAAATCTCAACTTTGAAACGAAAAAACTCTTTAAAATTATAGCTAATACATGAACTCGTACTTAAAACAAGTACACACTAAAAATATGTGTTGATAAAATAGGGGTAAGTAGCTACAAAGTATTGTTGAATTTCAACGATTCTGCTTGGAATATTAACAAACAGTTGTGCATATATTTATCATTTATAGACCCGGAGCGAGGGGGATTCGGCGTAATATTTCCCGAAGTGATGATATTTTCCGAGCGGCTATAAATGATATATTATACCAAAAGTTAAACAACTCACTAAGTTCAGAATAAACTTTAAAACTTGCTGAATATTATAAAATACGCAAATACAATTTTTAATTTCTTGTGTATACCTGAGTTTTTGACGTTTCTTCTTTAAAATATTTGAGCATGTATCCTTTGGATCATTAAAGGTAACATCCGTCTTGAAAATGTTTTGTGAAATCAAATATTCTGCACGAAAATACGAAATTACAAACAACAGTTCGCGAACGCCATATTGTTTCAGGGCGTGGTGTCCACGCATCACGCGTGAGCGTGAAATCATGAAGTTGCGAAATAATAAATTTGAGTGAAATACCGTAAAAAATCACATTATCACATGGTACAAATGCTGTTTTTTCATTGGATAATTTGAATTTGAGCTATCATATTTTAAAAAATCGCCGGTCACTTCCATGTTCAAAACGAAGAGCAAAGTTCAGAAAACCTAAAAATTTTACCGCATGTGTCAGTGGTTTCCAAGTGTCTTTGTTTGTGTGTAATCCAGAACCAAAATTAGGCCATTTTGAACAGCTTTTCCCCTTTAAATGCAGCTTTTAATACTTAAAAACGGCCATTGACTCTCGCGCCCTTCGCCGCTTGTTGCTACTAGTAGGCTTTCACTAATACCTGCTAGTAGCGAATTCAGAACGCACGATACACGACCGCCTGCTAGTAGGTTTATCCTAATTCTCATTAGACCAGATTTAATGATCTGGTAGCTATTTTATCACTTTCAGTATGTGCTGTTTCACTATATATGACATGGGGAAAATCAATATTTGTTTCATTGGAAATCACACTTTTCTACGTTTTGAACGATTTTAACAACAAATACAAATTAAAAAAAGGTAATAAACATTATTGAATGAAGCTTTAATTTTTTTTAGTGCGTTGAATTAAGAATTTTTCATGATTTGGCGTGCTCAATCGGATTATTGAGTAAGGGGCAAGCTGGGAGAGTACGAAAAAGCGAAACTTCCCAAGTGCTCAATTAATTCGATTGAGCACGCCCAAATCATGAACAAAATCTTTTATAATATAAAATTCCATCAAAAACAAGTTTTTTATTCCGGATGAGATTCCATTTTCTCCTAACGCAAGCCAAATATCAAAACGTTCCTGAATGCTGTGTAGCTTGCCAGCGAGTGGGACTTCAAATGCATAAAATAATTGATATTTTATTAATATT